CAACAGCACGGCATCGGTAGCATACAAGTCCACTAGGCCGCGCCCGGGGCTCCGACCCAGAACCAGGCCGGCCTGGGGCCGACTTCCCCGAGGGAGAAACGGCGTACAAGCTGGAGTGCCCGGGCGTCCGAAGGGCGGCGAGAGATGGTAGGCACCAACCCCGTTCGGAGCTCTGACGCTGCCGAGCAACCAAACGGCGCCGCCGCCGATGCCGTATGTGGCCGAGCAGGGAATGATGGAAGGCCGCTGAAAGTTGAGCGGCAACACCGCCAAATAGCCAGGAGCTCCGCTGGGCGAGAAAGCGCAGGAGGGCACAGGGCTGGTGAGCGTCCCCGCTTCAGGCACACAGGGGCCAGCCCAGGCCGCAGGGAGCCACCGCGGCAGCCGTGCCACGCCCCAAAATGGCGGCCGCGTACTCAGGCCTAGCTGGTGATGGGCCTCGCTCCACTCCTCTTTCGAGCCGAGGACCGGCCCACGCGGCCGTAGCAGCCGGGTGTCTGCGGCTGCAGCTGAGAGACGCTGGAAGACGCCGACACGATAGAGAGTCGGCCGACCCGCTGAGCAGCTGAGCAGCCAAACAGGACCTCCACTTCTCCGTCAGGTCAGGTGATAATAGTTGTTGAGAAACCGGAGACAGATCCAAAGAGCAGCTTCACAGATAGGTATAAAGAGAGCGACTTCAGGTCTAAAGGAGTAGCTCCAGCACTGAGTTCTCAAGAAGCAGCTACACAAATAGATGTCAAAGGAGCAACTTCGTAGGAGTAGCTCCAAGCACTGAGTTCTCCAGAAGCAGCTACACCAATAGATATCGAAGGAGCAACTTCGCAGGAGTAGCTCCAAGCACTGAGTTCTCAAGTTCTCAAGAAGCAGGCAGGATGATAGTAAGGTGCAGCTGGGAGGCAGAGGTTTTAAAGCCTCCTTTCCTGGCTTGCTTATCTCACCAGTGTGGAGGCGAGGCAGCCAGGACGCCGACCCTCTCCTGTTCTTGCAGGCCGAATGATAGTCAATTTTGTCAATGCCTATTGTGTTTAAGTGCAGCCCCAGGTCTTTAGGCACTGCACCCAGTGTGCCAATCACCACTGGGACCACCTTTACTGGTTTGTGCCAGAGTCTTTGCAGTTCGATCTTTAAATCCTCATATTGTGTCAGCTTTTCCCGTTGTTTCTCTTCAATCCTGCTGTCACCTGGAATTACAACACTGATGATCCACACATCAGTACCATTATTATTATTATTTAAACACAACAAGATGAGTCCACAGCAGACACTCTGCTGGCTGTTGAATTGGATCACACGTTGGACACTTCCCAAGTGTCTAGGACTGTGTGATGTATCGGCAAATGATGAATACAGATCCCAGTAAGGTGGCCTTCTACAGCTGGCAGATGGTAATTTTGTCAGCGCCTATTGTGTTTAAGTGCAGGCCAGGGTCTTTAGGCACTGCACCCAGTGTAACGATCACCACTGGGACCAGCTTTACTGGCTTGTGCCACAGTTCAATCTTTAAATCCTTATATCGTGTTAGCTTTTCCAGTTGTTTCAATCCTGCTGTCACCTGGGATTGCGAAATCAATGATCCATACTTTGTTTTTTAACACAATTGTGAGGTCAGGAGTCTTATGCTCCAAAACTCTGTCTGTCTGAATTCAGAAGTCCCAGAGGAGTTTGGCATGTTCATACTCTGAAACTCTTTCTGGCTTGTGATCTCACCAGTTCTTTGTTGCAGGCAGATAGTATTTGTGGCACAAGTTCCAATAAATCATCTGAGCAACTGTGTTATGCCTCTGCTTGTAGTTTGTCTGCGTGATCTTCTTGCAGCAGCTGAGGATGTGATCTATTGTATCATCTGCTGTCTTGCAGAGTCTACATTTGGGATCTGTTGTCAACTTTTCAATTCAAATAATAATTCAATTCCATTATTATTACTATTATTTGAAACACAACAAGATGAGTCCACAGCAAAAACTGGCCGTTGAGTTGGATCACAGGTCGGACACTTCCCATTATTATCATTATCATTTCTGAATATCTTTTACCATGAAAATCCTATGATGAAATAACACAAAACGAAACAAGAAACACTGCTGGAAAATGCTGCTCCAAGCACAGAAGACACTCAATCGCCTTCTAGATTAGAGCAGGGGACAAAGACAAGTAGTACTCTGTCTGAGGACACAAATGCACTCAAGCTGAAAGAATGCTTAGCTGTTGATGTGCTTAGATGAGAAAGAAATACCTGAAGCTTCCAAAGAGATGAAAGGATAACAAACTCATTCAGGGAAGAAACTTTTGTCAACGAGGGGAATGCTACTCTTAAGGTACTTGGGAGAAATTAATTACTAGGAACCATCAGTAGAATTTCACCTACAGAAAAAAAATCTAACTAAAATCTATCAAGAAATACGGAAAACAAAAGAATGGCTCACAGCGAGGGAAACACTAAATATACAATGCTCTTAGAAGCTAACCATGTGAGGTATGCTTTCAGAGGAAGAAACTGTATAGTACTGCCTAAGAAAGTATTATTAAATTCATAGAGTCACCATAAGTCGACAGGTGACTTGAAGACATGTACAGACACGGCTTACGTCAGGATGAAAAAATAGATGGCTTCCTCAACAAGCTTTGTAAATTAGATGAGACAAAGACACTATATTTGGCTCTCCTTTGCAAGGTGAAAACCAATCTTTTGGTGTTTTTATAGGGCGTCAGAACATGGTGATATTTTTTTTTTGTACAGACTGAATCACACAGCTTCTGATGCCATTTCAAGCTCTATTAACATGCTATTGTAATCATCCAGAGTTATAATTATTTGAATTAGGAGTGCAGCATTTGGCACTAAAAGTAGAAATGGGAGCTTTTCGTATGAATTTTAAGGGTAGCAAAGGAGGAGGTAACATATCATAACTTCTGTTATTTGTTATATAATGTATGTCTTAGAAGTAATGTTAAGGCAATTAACATGCGAGACAAGAATGATGAGCTCTAAAGCCTCAATGAGCACCTGCAAAGTAGCTGGTGTGTGACAACTAAATTATACTTAAAAGAAAACATGTCTAAGTAAATAGAGGGTGTATGTAAAAAGAGTTGTGTCATACATATATTTTGGTTTTGTTTAAAAATAATCTACTTAGATTTTAGAGATCAAACACACTGCGGTGTAATGACTCATCACAAGCTCCTACAATGGGGGAAAAATAATCTGGAAAGAATTGAAGCCACATGCTGACACATTAAATCTGTTGTTCGGTTTGTCTGTTAGGTTAAGTACATGGAATAATGCTCAGATGTATTCATAGGATATAGAGTTTGAGAGCATTTAGAATGGAATCCAATGCTTGACTTTGCAATGCTTGAAATGCAACCATGCAAGATGCTCTGCATATCTCTTCTCTAAACAGCTGGGCAGCTAAGAAGAGGATTTTTGAAAAGATGTAAGACTCTCCCCACTCACAGAATCATAGAGACCTCATGCACTCCAAGCCCCTGCCAAAAAGCAGGAATACTGCATTCAAAGCACCTCGACAGATGGCCATCCAGCCTCTGTTTAAAAGCTTCCAAATAAGGAGCCTCCACCACACTCTGGGGCAGAGAGTTCCACTGCTGAACAGCTCTCACAGTCAGGAAGTTCTTCCAATGTTCAGATGGAATCTCCTTTCTTGTAGTTTGAAGCTATTGTTCCGCGTCCTAGTCTCCAGGGCAGCAGAAAGCAAGTTTGCTCCCTCCTCCCTATGACTTCCTCTCACATATTTATACTTTGCTATCAAGTCTCCTCTCAGCCTTCTCTTCTTCAGGCTAAACATGCCCAGCTCCTTAAGCCGCTCCTCATAGGGCTTGTTCTCCAGACCCTTGATCATTTTAGTCGCCCTCCTCTGGACACATTCCAGCTTGTCAATATCTCTCTTCAACTGTGGTGCCCAGAATTGGACACAATATTCCAGCCTTTCTTTCTCTTTCACAAAACAATCCATGATGGAAGCTTGCTCTTCCACTTGTAAGGTAAATCAATGAGAGCATTTGTGAGTATTGTGCTTGGAGAAGCTCAGCATTTTTGCTTAATGTGACCAGAATCAAGGTTGTAGATATGCAGATATTCTCCCAAACATAGCAGGCAATTGGGACAGAGATGGGGACAATGAAACAATCAAACTTCAGACATACAGATTCTGGCGGTTGAAGACTGGCTATAAATAATTCTTCAATTTAATTCCATTTACTGACTGTTTGAGGTTATCCAACATTAATTATGTTTCATCTCATCAGAGGCACATTTTGCCTAAAATTATTCAAGAAACAAAAACCACAGAAGTGAAGCCTGACCTTTCCATCGTTTTCTCACATTTTTTATAAATAAACAGCATAGGAGGATGGATGACCCTAACTAACAGTTAACAACTGTTTTAATGGAGGCAGATTATCCAACCTCCATGACTCAGAAAACCATGCCTTGGTTATTTTTACTCCAATAGATGTTCGTCTTCACAAGCCTTTGCAATGTAGTCATGACAACCACAGCATCGCTGTTCCCAGTTATAGCTTTGCAGCTGCATGTGTAATATGGTTATTTGAGGTGCCGCTGAACAACAGGGTTTCAATAATATTTCATCTGCCCTCCCTTGCCCCCCATGCAGGCAGCATATCTATTCTGGAAATTTGCTGCATCCAGATATAACTAAATATTCATAAACAAACTGGCAAGCACAGGACATATGCAGCTTATGAATCCCTTTTGGGAATAAAAGCTTGATTCTAGTTATGATCTCATTGGTTTCCAAGGCATAATACACCTGACAAGGCAAATATTCTATTCACAGATACATGCACACGTCAGAACTTAGGACTTGTTGGCCAGCTATTAGAAAACAACTGCTTGGACATAACCAGAACTATACCTTCTAACACCAAATTTAGTAGGTATTATTGCTAGTACAGACAATGTTAGGCTCTGGGTTAGCACATTTACAAAACTACAGTTTACTATATATAATATGTTCTACCTGAACTCAGGTGGGATTGGTTCAAAGGCTCTGAAACATAGGCTGAACCTTGTTTTACACTATCCATCTCCAAATCTGCATGCAGTTGTGGGGGAGAAAGGGAAAGTGAAGCAAGAAAAGGACAAATAAGTTTAATACAAAATTAAATTGACTTGAAAATATTTCATATCTCTCCTGCTTAGCACGTTTTTAGTTTCTATACTGGGCAGGGTAATTGTAGGCAATTTGTACAGGGTGCAGCAGCATAACTTCCTTTTTTCAAAACTTAATAAAACCCATTGTATGAATCAGAAAAAAAATTATAATGGAGGCGCATGCCTAAAGTTTTGTTTTACATAGTTTTGAAGATCAAATTAGGTAGGTGACGTCCCCCATTCTCTATTCTCCATACACTGAGTAAACCGATTTCTGGTGTTTGTCATGACTCTTGGAAAATACAGAGACTTCGAGACATAGACATACAGAGACATAGCAGGCGTTATGTTGGCAATTTCTTCCTGGATGTTGGTCTTCAAATCTTGTAGGGTCCTTGGACGGTTCACATAAACACGGGATTTCAAAAAACCCCATAGAAAAAATCACAAGGGGCCAAATCTGGAGAGCGGTCCAGCCACTCCGAATCTGCTTGAAAAGTAGGCCTCAACGGCAAAAGCATGCTCCTCACTGTTCCAACGCATGATGGTGACTGAACTGTGCCAGGACAAAACTTTATACTCCCACCTCTCAAATGAGACCACTAGCGCTCCACTACGTCTTCAACCAACTGAATGGCACGCATTTAAAAAAAGGAAGTTATGCTGCTGCACCCTGTACTTGGCTTACAATTCCCAGTAGCCCTATAGCATAGCTATATGAGGGATTATGGAAGTGGAAATCCCAAAACATCTAGAGGGCTGCAAATCCTCCCACTCTTAGTATGGAGATAGGAATGTAAAAACAGTAATATGATCCCTAGAATCCACATTTACTCTCTGCCACCTGTGAATATATCTGTGAAAGTCACATGATATTAAAACTGATATTGATCAATGTTTGCTATTATTTTCTTCCAGGGTAATAAAAATGTTTGCAGCCTTTCCTTTCTTTCTTTTTATGTAAGGAGCATATGCATGACAAACATACTGGCTAAAATTCATCCGCAGTGCACTAGAGGGTGTCATGATGAATTTTCATGAAATATATGCCAGGGTCGTGGAACTATCTACATAACACAATATTTCCATATCACAAATAAGGTTTGGTAAGCAAGGTATGTTCAAAACTGAACCAACTGACTTACAGCTACATACGTCTCAGCGTCTACTAGGGAAAGAAAATACTTATGTGAGCCTGACACTACGTTGTGAAGGGTATATAATAGCCACACTGATCTGTGACTATATATCAGTGGTTCCCAACCTTTTTTTGACCAGGGATCATGTGACTAGGTAACACTTTGACCACGGACCACTCTCTAACATTAGTACCAAAAGGGTGACAAATCAGTTTTTGATCAACTTTAGATTTAGTTTGGTTATTTGGGGTGCTGATTCAGAAAATTGCATTGGATAGACCACATCAGCTCTAATTTCTGATACAAAACAAATACCATCCAGTAGTCGCCCTCTGCTCGCCCACAGAAAACCGTATTTAATAAGCCTCAGCACTGTAAAAGGCTTTCACGAAACCAGTCACTCTCATTGCAACAGTATTGGTGAGATTGAGGACCATATTGGGGGATGGACGGGACGTATATTCCAATGACAGAACATTGAGGTTAAGCAATAGTGTGGGATTGTATACCTACTCACCAAAGGTGCAGTGGAAGAGCCAGGTTTTAAGTTTCTTTTTAAAGGTTTTTAGGGTAGGGGCTTTCCAATAACAGGTTGGAAACCACTGCTATATATGAATATTAGAGATACATGATCTCCAAGCGAAATTTTGAACACAAAACCTCTTGCTTAAACTGTTCAGCAGAAATATATTTTGTTTTCACTGAGAATAATCTAATAACAAGCGAAATAATCTAATAACAAGCTGGAATCTTTCAAATAAAAGCTTGACTAACTAAATAGGTAGTAAAGCTGTTATGCAAGGACAGCCACTGCTGAGGCCAAGTAAGAAAGCAAAGCATGCTGAAAAATTTAGCCCATAATGACATCTTGCTATCTTTGAGAAAAGGGCACTCTCTGTTATTGTTATTACTGTGTACACTTTGTGATGATCCTAAAGTGATCCTATCATAAGGATTTCTTTACAAGATTTGATCTCCACTATTAGGGAACCCAGATATGCATTGGGAGACAACCAAAGTTGTAAGTCACACACAAATGCTATCATAGATTCTTCCCTGTTTTTATTGCTATGATTTTGAAGTTCTGCACATTTCCATTATAATTGCTAGCACTGACAGAAGGAAGATGTTCTCTTGCTTTGTAATGAAAATATGAATACCTTGGCAATCTGTCTCTTGTGATACTTTCCTTTGTGAACATTAATACAGTCACAAAGAAAACAACTCAGATTCCTAGTATTGTTACAATCTCAAATCACAATGCAGGCAATTAATTTTCCATAATATCCACCAATATTATGAAATGTTTTCTTTAATATTACAAAAAATGTAATATGAAAACTTTGTTTTTTCATCTCAGAAACTGCAAGTCGCTTCTGATGTGCAAGAACTGGCCATCTGCAAGGATGTTGCCCAAGGAACGTCCAGATGTTTTACCATCCTGTGGGAGGCTTCTCCCATGTCCCATGGAAAGCTAGAGCTGACAGACGGAAGCTCACCCCATGCCCCGAATCTGAACCGCCGACCTTTTGGTCAGCAGTCCTGCCAACACAAGGGTTTAACCCATTGTGCTACCAGGGGCTCCTAATATGAAAACTGAATATACCTAAAAACTGAATATACCTAATATATCTAAGATATGTTTCTAAAAGCAGAAACAATGCTGTTGAGATCTGCTCATAAGGCAAGCATTCACAATAGTGAATCAACCTTGGTGATAACAAGAAGACATTAATTCGGGGGTTGAAGCTAAAAGTGATGCCTTTTCAGTGGTGGCCCCTCGGCTATGGAGCACCCTCCTCAGAGATATTAGATCAGCTCCCACTCTCCTAACATTCTGGAAAAAAAGTCAAAACCTGGCTTTGTGAGCAGGCTTTCTCAAATGCAAGGTATTAAATAATTACTTGACCTCGGAACGGCTGGACAATTGCAATCGAATAAAGATTCTGGAAATTAGATACGGAGGATTTATGTTTTATTGATTTTATTGTTAATGGAATTTTATGGATGTTTATATGCTTTTAACTATTTATATTATTGTGGCATCGAATTGTGCTGGTTTTGTAAACCGCCCTGAGTCGCCCTTGGGCTGAGAAGGGCAGTACAGAAACACAGTAAATAAATAAATAAGTAAATAATGTCTTTGCGTTCCATTTTGAAAAAGAGAAAACCTGAACATCACAAATATCTTATTCCGGAAATTACTCTACACTTTAACTGATAAGAACAGATACTACACTTGATCTTAGCCAAAAGATCAAGTATGTATGAGCAAATGTGTATGTTTTGTATGTTTTGCATGTTTTGATATGGTCAAAATTGACTAATCAATAAAGAATTGTTGTTGTTTTTGTTACTCTACACTTAATATATTTTCAACATCATCATTATTTTTTCATGTCAGGATTGACTTGAGAAACTGCAAGTCGCTTCTGGTGTGAAAGAACTGGCTGTCTGCAAGGACATTGCCCAGCGGACGCTCGGATGGTTCGATGTTTTACCATCCTTGTGGGAGGTTTCTCCCATGGGGAGCTGGAGCTGACAGAGGGAGCTCATCCGCACTCTCCCGGATTCGAACTTCTGACCTGTCGATCTTCAGTCGAGCCGGCACAAGAGTTAAACCCACTGCACCACCGGGGGCTTTACTTTCATTATGAAAGTTGGTGAAAACAACACCCTCGGGTGATATATACAGCTATAAGATTATACATCTTTGATTCTAGGATTGTACCTGTTTATTATGATTAAATAGACCCCAACTGTAATTACAACAATCCCTAAAAATAAAATAAAATTAGCAACAAGAATATTTCAGATTACTGCCATTCCCATTTCTCTCTCCTTGCTCTGTATTTTAAAAGTCAATAGAAATAAAAATGTAAGGAATATAAAAATGTAATAAATACAATGCTAATTTCCTCCCATAGCTCTCTAACAGATATTGGCTCAATTAAATGCAAAACTTAAGACAGAATGAAAAGGAATAAATGAAACCGTACAAGGGGGAAAGTAGCTCCAGGATGCTGGACGGGCTCCATGGGCAGGGGAAACTAGGAAAGTACAAGTCAAAGGAAAAGAAATTATTACAGTGAACATCCATTTGAAAAATACATTTTCATGCGTAGGCTGGAAAGATTCAAAGCAACTGAGATTGAACGGAGACATAATTCCACATTCTTTGTTTGGCACATGTCCACAACTGTATACACCTGCTATGAATCTCTTGAAATATATCTGAGTTTTAAGTAGTTCAATACAAAATGGGAACTGAAGATAGATCAGAAAAATGCACATATTTCCAAAGCACTGAAACAAAGCCTTTCTGTAATGTGAGGATAGACACTTGCTCATCCCAATTCAAATCATCACATCTCTAGACCAAGCAACATAATGTTACACATCCAAAACTCCCCAACACTTGTAAAAAAAAAAAAAAAAGTTTGGTGATCTGTCCCTTTAAGGTTTTTTTCTTCATTAGACCAGATTTAATGAAACCAAATCCAACACAGCTGCTTTTATTTATCCCTCGCTGTACATTTCTATCCTCTTTCAGACAGTGCCAAATTTGAGAAGATGGGGAGAGATGGAAAGGAAAGTGTTGGAAATGATGATGGCCATTTAATGCACCATCACATGGGGTGGAAACAAGGAATTGGTATGATAGGTTGATACAAGTATTTCACAGATGCTTGATCTAGCATCAAAAGCATACATAAAGACAGTTGCATAAAACCTGATAAAGCGAGAGAGGCTTTTCATGCTAACAGATTCATCAGAAGTTGAAAGTACAAAGTGCCTTGTAGGACAAGTTTTCACATTTGTTCATGTCAAGTATACTTTAGTATACTTCTTTTTGTCTGTTTGTAAGCTGACTCATTTAGTGGCTTTCAGAAGAGACACAGTCTTCTACAGTTACATGTTTTTTTTTTTTGTATCAGGAGCGGCTTGAGAAACTGCAAGTCGCTTCTGGTGTGAGAGAATTGGCCATCTGCAAGAACATTGCCCAGAAAACGCCCAGATGTTTGATGTTTTTACCAACATTGTGGGAGGCTTATCTCATGCTCCTGCATGGGGAGCTGGAGCTGACAGAGGGAGCTCATCTGCGCTCTCCCCGGATTCAAACCTACAACCTGTTGGTCTTCAGTCCTGTCGGCACAAGGGGTTAACCCAGGGATCCTCAAACTTTTTAAACAGAGGGCCAGGTCACAGTACCTCAAAGTATTGGAGGGCTGGATTATAATTTGAAAAAAAAATGAATGAATTCCTATGCACATTGCACATACTTTATTTGTACTGCAAAAAACACATAAAACCAATACAGTAATTAAAATGAAGGACAATTTTAACAAATATAAACTTATTAGTATTTCAATGGGAAGTGTGGGCCTGTTTTTGGCTGGTAAGATAGGATTGTTGTTGTTGTTGTGTGCTTTCAAGTCATTTCAAACTTAGGTTGACCCTGAGCGAGGGCCGGGTAAATGACCTTGGAGGGCCGTACCCGGCCCTCAGGCCTTAGTTTGAGGACCCCTGGGTTAACCCATTGTGCCACCGGGGGCTCCGAAGTTGCATACTGAAGGGTAGGAACAACAGTAAACCAGGAAATTAATTGGAATATTTCCTTTGAGTTCAGTAACAAAGAAACTGTGATTCTCTGGTTAAAGCTAGGAGTTCCATTTCCATCAATCCATGAACCATGTTGGTTAGGGATGATGACAGATAGACTCCACCAGTATCTTGAGGGTCACAAGTTTCAGACTCCTGCTACACACAGACAAATCCTTTTCAACTCCAAAAAACCCAACATTTAGCTGGATTAAAGATTGGTGGGAACGAGGGAGAGGGCCTTCTCGGTGGTGGCCCCTCAACTCTGAAACTCACTTCCCAGGGATATCAGGCATGCCCCAACATTGGCAGTCTTTAGGAGGCATCTGAAAATGTGGCTGTTCCAGTGTGCAGCAAAATGTCATCAAATGCACTTTAACTATCCGTTGGATAGCACTTCCCTCACTTTTTTTTAAAACCCTCCTATTAGATATATCCTACCTTGTTCATGCCCAGCGTTTATTTTTTAATTTTTAACTATTACATCTGGCCCGGCCATACGTTTTTAAATCCTTGCATGTTAATGTTTATATGTGATTTATTTAATTGCATTGTTATTTTTTGTTATTGCTTTCTTGTTTATTGATGTGTTGTTGGGCTTGTCCTCATGTAAGCCGCTCTGAGTCCATTGGGGAGATGGAGGCGGGATATAAATAAAGTTATTATTATTATTATTATTATTATTATTATTATTATTATTATTATTAAAGTATCAGACTGAGAGATGGTTCAATCATCGGGATCATGGTGATGGCCTATTTTTGCCTATATCACTCCCCTGATGATTAACAAATCATTTACACACATTTTTTGGTTTGGTTGTGTTCTACAAATGGCCAAAGACAACATAGAAGACATACCCGAGAGCCAAAGTCCTCAATTGCTTCAATAAAAATGGTTTACACAAATAAAGCAAACCCATTTTAGCTTAAATAAATTGAAGAAAGTACTATTAAATGCAACATTTTAAGAGAACTAGAAAGACAGTCTTAGAGGGACACAAAAAACAATGGGATTCTGTACATTAAAAAACTTACACTGATGGATGATTACGAAGAAACGAGAAAATTAAAGAATCATAAACAGAATTCATATTAAATGGAACATAAGAAGAATAAAGTTCCACTATGCTACAGTTAAAGTAATACAAAATATTACAGAACAAATAATTTTGAAACCACAAAAGATTGGATGGAAGTCACCAGGACAATTTTATTTATTTATTTATTTATTTATTTATTTATTACTTTTTTCATCTTTTTTAGTCCTTTTTTAGTATCTTTTGTGTGTTCCTTTTTCCTTTTTTTCCTTTTCCTACTTTCTTTGCATATTATTGTTCTCCCACTTTACATGTATGAATAACTTTTACCCTCTTACCCCTTCCCCTATTCCTCTTCATTATTAAGAAAAATATATATTCCAAGGAAAAAAAATACTTTATCAAGTCTATGTACCACAAGGATTTTTTTTTTTTTTTGGTGTCAGGAGTGACTTGAGAAACTGCAAATGTGAGGGAATTGGCTATCTGCAAGGACATTGCCCAGGGGATGCCTGGATGTTTTGATGTTCTACCATCGTTGTGGGAGGCTTCTCTCATGTCCCCACATGGGGAGCTGTAGCTGACA